TGGGTAGTCCAGGCAATCCAAGCCAGGACTGCTTTGCAAGCGGGGCATCCCTGAGAACTGTCTGTCCAGGGTGGGGGTCGAACTAGTTTTTTAGTCTGGATCCGTTAGTTCGAATTAGCTTAGTTTGAATTAACGTTGTAATGTAGACATACCCTTTCTCTTCTCCCCCTCCCGCCTCTCACTCTGTGTTTATCTTCTCGAACTAGTTTTTTAGTCTGGATCCGTTAGTTCGAATTAGCTTAGTTTGAATTAACGTTGTAATGTAGACATACCCTTTCTCTTCTCCCCCTCCCGCCTCTCACTCTGTGTTTATCTTCTCCTCCTCCTGCTGGCTCTCTCTCACTCTCTCTCTCGCTGTCCTCCGCCTCCTCTGTGTCTCCTCCGTGTCCTCTGTGTCTGCTCCACTTTCCTCCTTTTGAATCCGGCACCCTTTCCTGACACAGAAACGCACACTCATCCAGGCTCTGCCCTCTGGCTGTTCCCTCTGGGTGGCGCTGTTGCCTCCCACTGTGGCGCTCGGTGACTTTTCTGCCGCTCAGCCGGGCTGCCGCATGGGAGCAAGCGGCGCAAGCGGCCATTTGGGCCCCACACTCCACATACAGCACCTCTGTGCTGCATGGGGAGGACAGATCCCAAACAGCCACTTGTGCCACTTGCTCCCGTGTGGTGGCCTGACTGAGCAGCGATGGTGATTGTGACCCACTTCACCAGAGGGATGGGTGTCATGTCTCCAGAGGGTGGGGGCGAGCCAGATACATAGCTCCAAAAAGTTGGCCTTCTTCATGCAGAAGTTTTGGAGCCACTGCTGGTCGTTCCACCACTCCATGACCAGCCGGTCCCACCAGTCAGAACTGCTGTTGAGCCTCCAGAAACACCTCTCCACAGTGGGCTGCGGATGCCAGAATGTAGCTCCTGCACCCAGTGAGAGGATCTTCAGAATGAGCTCAGGATCTAGCTCAGTCAGGACCAGGAAGGCAGCTGGCACCTAGTGTTGCAAAAATTGCAGGAAGGCCACGTGGGGACATTGCATGCCCTGGGGCAGCTCCGGCTCCATGGCACCAAGATAAAAGCTGAGGCGTCCAAAACAGCAGGGCAACCACTGCAGGCACTGAGAGAGCTTTGCTGTCCCTCGAACAGGTATGCAAGCACGCAGCAGAAGCAGAGAAACACCTGTCCAGGGGGGTCCCTTTAAGTGCATGTCTCTGCAAGGCTCTGGCACCAGCACTCGGAAGCAACAGGTGACCTAAAGCCCTGCCTGAAGTGGTTTCGGGTGGCCTTTTATGTGAATTGCTTTTTTGATGCGCTTTTGTGTGTGGACACTCTCTTTCGGAAGAAGTTTTTTTTGGAAGATCTCTTTCAAAAAAAGCTTCTTCTGAAAAAAGCCTACAGTCTAGACATAGCCTGAGGTTCAGTGGGAGAGGGGGAAGATATAAGGAGCCATAGGGAAACCTAGGGATACAAGGGGGGGAACTAGTGAAGGAAGTCATAGGGTTTGGGAACATCTGGGGTGTTCCATGAGGTTTGTTTCAATGAGTGGGCATGGAGTAGTGAGTGTTATTTAGAAACTGTAGTACTGGGTACATTTCAAGAGGTGAAACCTAAAGAACTGTTTGGAGTATTTTGGGGTAGCTAACTGTTGTGGAAGTTGATGAGTGTCTCAAGGTATGGAATAAGGATGTTAAGTATTATGTAACTGTCTAATCAAATAGTCGATGCATTTCTGCCGTGGCGGTGTTTCAAAGCAGCACTGCCACATTGAAGTACCACCTTCTTCTCCCTCCCTTGCTGCTTTTATCTGATAGAGGCAACAAGGAGGGGAAAGCGAATAGTCGACTATCCTGTCAACTAGTCCTTAACATCAGTACTATAGAATAATCAATAATGCTAATAAAATGATGTTGCATAGATAAACTGGGATTTATTCACTGTTTTGATTTATATTTAGTCATATGTAGTATTTTATAAATATAAATGCAATAAAAAGAAATAAAACATTTTTATTATACAAAACAAACCAAGAAATTCACAAAAAAAAATAAAAATATGTCAGAAGGTTCTAGCTATAATATGCATTTTTAAAAGATGTGTATGTGTTTTACTAGAACAAGGAGAAAGCTGGCAGGTGCAGAAATAAAATTGAGAAGATATTTGCAGACTTTTCCAACAAAATAATTATCTCCAGGAGCACCATAAAACTTTTTAATTTTAGCAAAAAGCCTTATATTGTACTTTTAAAGACAACCTTTTTCATTTTCTATTATAAAACTAAGAACTAAACTTTGGATTTCTGATCCAAATAAAGAAATATTACAAATATGCCAGTGATAATGATATACCAACATATTTCTACCCTTTAAAAACTGTACTTTTTGGGTGCATCCACATTAGCAAAAAGAATTCTTCACTTGAGTTAAGTAACACAAAGCAAAATCTCATTGAAGATAAGACAGTTCATAGTTCTCACATAAGTTGGCAGATCAAAAGTAAATTATAGGCTTTCCCATAGTCTCTATCTTGACCTGGTAACCCATGTATAAACTATAAACTACCTTCAATAGAATTTTACCTAATGTTAGTTAACTTAAGAACGTATCTTTTTCCTAGTAAAGGCAAGGCTTTTGAGACCACAATGATGGCTTAGTGATAAACAAAACTACAATAAAATGGTCTGTGTTCAAAGCTGGGATTTGTTCAAAATTCTCAGATCAACAAGGACTCTGCACCCTGAAGAGACATCCTGCATAAGATCAGGAAAGAGGGAATCATGCATCATTCTGCAGCTGACTCAAAACAATACTGAACAGGCTCCAGAGGGAGTAATATCCGCCTCTATTCAGCCAGCAAACAGCTGGAATCATGTAAGAAGAGTAAACGCCAGATAATGAGAAAACCTCAGAGTTTAACGTGTCTCTGACAAAATAGAATTATTATCACAATATATACTTAGTCTATACACAGCCTTGAACAGGGAAAGTACAAAGCTGCATCACCCCAAAGGGATCTCTAGGATGGATTATGCCTCTGCAGAAAACTTGGGGAGTGTACCTCCTTTACCATCCCTTAAGAAGGCAGGGCATTCTCCATTCTCCCCAGCTGGCCAGCTCCTTTGGGATG